GTTAAGAACTGGTCTACGTCAAGCGTGATAGGTAACACCCTGAAGTTTCGATTCGCTTTCAGGCCTTTGAAATAAACGATTTTGTCGAAAAGTCAGGCAAATAAAAATTCCACCGTTAAAAAACCTGTGTGGCACAGAAGCATTGAATAATAGAAGTACTAATCTTTTCTGCTGAGTAACTGCAACTTACTCCAGGTAGCGGAGCTTTCTCAACCTCACGTAGTCCTCATTGGTTAGGTAGTCATTCTGCTCGGGTGCAGCCTGACAGCCCACCAATAAGAATTGAGCTAGGAATTTCCTACAAAATACCCTCGGCTGCTTGCTTGCGATTTCGTTGACTTGTTTTCCCACCGCGATTTCCAGTGTTCTGAAGCACAACCCACCCCCTCATTCAGGTTTACGACTCGACCGGTTATCTTTTTAATTAACTTTACATTTACTCATAAGACTTTTTCACTGGACTAGTTTGATACGTTGCTGAATGCTCATTGATAAAGTTGACATTTGTTCAGGTGATTGTCGCCGAGGGTGAACAAAAAGCATCTCGTGCCTTGAAGGAAGCAGCAGAAGTTATCGCTGAGTCACCATCTGCTCTTCAACTACGCTATTTGCAAACGCTTAATAGCATCTCGTTAGTTTTCTTTTTTCTATCACAACATCTGATCCCCTCATAACAGCGCTTTTACTATTCCTACCTAATTGTCGAAGAAGGACTTGGAATATACTATTTTCATCGCAGTGCATTACATTGTCTTACCTTCTCCCGTTTTGATCCAGTAATTCACATCGTCCTTCTTATATGCATATTCAGCCTCCTTTGATCCTATAAGCCCATAGCTCTACTCGCATTGACTCGATGTCTTAAGAGTAGTACGCAGGGTTGAGGTAGCCTTAAGAGCGAATGCTTCGACAACAGTTTTTACAGAGAATTCCATTGGAAAGATGCCAATATCCCGTGAAAAATGTGACTGCATATCAGTGTAAGGTGTACCAAATAGCGGTTCTGAGACGCCGTAAGCGGATCGCGCCTACATGTTATCCCTTCTCTTGTGATGGCTAACTTGCAAGGCATTTCATGGCATCTGTCATAAAGGCACAATTCACGATAATTCGGAGTGTCTAGTTTTTGACGAATAACGAAATTAATAGTAGGGAATAGTGTGAAAAAGGCGAAGAAAATGTTAAATCGGCTTATTTAGAGAAATATAAGGATTCAAACGTAGTATAATTAGGCGTTGGACGAGAATGTGACGACAAAAGTTTCGTTTCGTTGCGTGCAGCTGGCAATAGTAAGCTGTCCGCCTGCAAAGTATGCGTCCTCGTGCGAGTTGTAACCTCTACGACCCCTAAAACGCCGTGAAAACTCGTCCGCCTCGGGTAAGTGGGTTCTGAGGTTCTCGCTACGCCCGATCCAGAGCGTTTTTCGACCCGGCAGCGTCCCCTGTGCTATCCTTGGAGGTCACTGGTTCATACCAGGGAGAAATCTGAGCGATCATTCTTAACGTTAACTGTGGCTTCAACATACCGTTGTGTCACCCACATTCTCTCACGTGATGGCGTCTCTGATCCAAAACGCCAATGCGCAGATAGAAGGGCTGTCCACATAAGCACATGACCACGTAAACTGGTGCAGATTTATGTCTCTCACTTCAATAGATTCCCGCGGCTTCACGTTTTTTTTTTCGATAGGACGCTCAGCTTCCTTTTTTTATTGTTTGGAGGCGCAGCATGCTACTAGGAATGATTGTAGGATGTGCTTTTAAGAATACAACTTATTACTTAGTGAATTCGATTTTGTTTCAGAGCAGAGAAGAATTCTACCATAATCTTTCCGTTCCCAATTGATTTGCTCAGTGCTTTCTTACAACGACCAGCTCCTAAATTGTAAGTTTTTTAGCACATTCTTATGCATTCTCTTGAAGTACATCAGTTTGTACAATGGAAGTGTTTATTTGCAACTGCGAGTATTTAAACTAAGAACATGAAGGAATAGAAGAAGGGAAAAGAACAGATAAAGAACACGGACATGCAGGGGAACATCTCAATGTTGGATATAACCGTATGCCCTGGAATCACCAAAGAACCGGTTTGAGCCGCGCATGAAGCGGAGAATTTAATCCGTGACTCGGTAGGAGCTTGTGCCCAGACTATTTTCTACTTTTTTTTCCAGAAGCCATGGCTGCTTAACATGATCTTTCCATAGGAAAAATCCATCATTGCATGGAATGACTGCAACAACCCATTCATTGATCTGCCTAGCTAGTGTAGATTGGAGTGTAAACGCAATTGATGATTCTATCAATGAAGCAACTAGGAAAACATTCTTCTCTATGAACGCGTAATGTAAGAAGTACAAGCGGTCCGCTGAAATGAAAAGATCGTATCTTTACTCGTCACCCAATTTCTTCTTTCCCTTACGTGCTTATTCCACGTATATGGTATCTAGTTGGGAAGAATAACCGAGCTTGTGACAAACGGTTAGTTTGGGGTGTCCTAAGTGGCTTTTGAGAAGGTGTTACATAAGGCACCGAGCGACGTCGCGTAGGGTCGCGAATGCATGGCAAATAGAGTATGGGCTTGTGGGCGAACCAGTTGAACTCATACTCACCAAATGCTAAAAATCATGACACTGAGACAACCAACAAGTACAGCAATATGTATTGACCCTTTATGCGTTGCAGCCTGCAAAAAATCTTCAGAAATGAAACTTTTTGACTTGTTAAGCTGACGTTCATGTGAATGAGTACTGTTTACAAGCGTTATTTGCCACCATTGCCCACTTAAACAAATCACGGTTAAAGAGAAAACATCTTCCAAAAGCACCTTTTGCTCACATCCACTAAGACTACGTGGGGGACGGAACTTACGTGCGTCCGAGGATGCTTGCGGCAAATTGCGCGGCGAAGTGCGTGGTGACTCGAACGACTTTGGCGCCTATCCTTGTGGCCCAAATTTGAAGTAGAATAGATTAGTAGTATCAGCCGACCCTGCTAATCTGCTGTATTTCAAATTTGGGCCCCAATGACAGGCGCCAGAATTGTTCGAATTACCACGCACTTCGCCGCGCAACTTGCCGCGCGCATCCTCGGACGCACGTATGTACCCATACCCAGACTACGTAGGCCATCCTCTGCTTGCTTTACTTTGCCCTAATGGAAATAACGATTCACTTTGTTTTGAGTTGTTATCGTTGAGCCTTCTTTTGCTTCAGTGAAAGTTGTGTACCGTCGACGATGCTTCCACACTCATCAAAGGCTCACGTGTGTTAACATCGCGTTAAGTCATCACACCGACACAGTCACAAATCATTTCTTTTTATCTCACAGCACCTTTTAAATGAACATTGTGCAAATAAACATTGTGTTGCTATGTGCTCTGCACAAAATCATTGGCATGTATCATATGTTGGCTTTCTGTGCTGCTTCACGCCCTCATACTTCACTCAGCATGACCAAGATTTTATTTGCTAAAAGTACAGTTTATTAGAAAACTCCGAAGCAGAACCGCTTAAAGGCACTGTTAACAAAAAAGTAAGGGTACCCTTTTTTTGACGGGAGTAGATAGAACTACTCTAGTATAAGGCGATAACAACGTTAAAGCGCAAAAAAAGAGGAACAAAAAGAATTACAAAGGGACAAAAAAAGAGCTGGAAAGGAGGGTTGGACGAATTTCACATTGAAAAAACTGCGGTTAGGGAGTGTTCGAGCGAGAATGCACGAAGGCGACGCAATGTCTGCAATACAGAGAACACATCGGAATTAACGGAGTTTCTATAATAAAAAAACATTTGCATGCAATAATCTACCCAAAATATGTTAAAATCTTCAATAAACTTACGAGAATAGTTGAAGAAAGCTACCGTGAAAAATTCATAACAAAAAAACAATAGAAATAACAAGCATAAAATAGAGATAACAGCCGAATACTAGCTCCTGTACGAGGCGGTCGACCAGCTGATGATTCCTGGCAATTTGCCAATCAGCGTATCGATTTTTCACCAACTTCGCTCCAGTGCGAATGTGGTGAAGGACAACTTGAACTCGTAGTCAGCCTAGCGAGGGGCGGAGGCCTCCAGTCCCCCACTGTTCCTGGCCTTATTGTGCCCTATACAGCCGTTTTCCGACCTAATTCCTGCACAAATGTTATCAGAGGGGGCTTAGAATTCTAACCATGTGCATATCTTCGAAACCATTTATTCGTTAACAGTGCCTTTAACACGTTGGCGACCATGCGTCCCGATGCTAGGACGCACGTTTTTGGCTCGCTGGGGTATTTATATCATTTATCACGTGTTTCTATAATTTTTTCATGTTTTCATGTATCAGCTGAGCTCACAGCCTTCTAGAGAATCTTGAAGCATTGCGGTCCAAGAACCATTCATTTCTAACTACAAATACAAGAGGAAATAAAGGTTAATGTAAGGACAATATAAAAGCGCGGTCGCCAATGGGTTGAAGGTACAGTTCACGATAATTCTGGGTAATCCAGATTATGATAAAAAATGAAAGACCGATCGGAAATAGTGCGATGAATGCGAAGAAACTGCTTGAATTGCTGTTTCCAAAGTGAATGAAGGCTTCGAAAAACCGTTAAAAAGGGAGCTGGACGAGAATGAGATCAGAGAAATGAAGAAGATTGGGGCGTTTGGACGAGCTATACAATGTGTTTCACTGCGTACGTGTGGGTCCTGGCAGGAATAACAGACTATGGTAAGCAAAAATTCATTCACTTATAAGCATAAGTAAACAAAAAAAATCCTAGTCACAGCAAAAGTAGCTTACCTTTTTCAGCCTCTAGGAGTAGGGAATTAAAAAAAGGGACCGCGGCAGCAAAAAGAATAACAGAGGAGAAAAGAATGGGAGAAAAACACCGCCTCATCACTCGGCGACCAGCTGATTGTGTGGGAGTCCTAGAACGAATAGTTGCAATCTGTATTGTCTCGACACTAGTCTGACGTGATGACGTGACATCGATCGAGAGGCGGGAAAGCCATTGGCGTTTCCGCCCATTGAATTATCGTGAACTGTGCCTTTAAAGCACAACACTAGCGAAGAATGGCTCCGGCGATTGAGAAGACGGCATACCTCGTTAGTTCGTCCAGAGATGGCCGAGGTAGGGCCCAATCACCTGTATCACGTGTACTCTCATTGACCACTGCTCAAGCGGGTGCTATTAACGTCTCCATTCGTCCCTGTCGCGACCCAGAGTGGTCCATTAGATCGTTGTCGCTTGAGGGACGCTTAGCACAGGATTCCCTTCGTTTAGAGTTTAGTGAAGAGGCCTTACCGTTGCGCGTGCTGCCGTCCTTGTGCTCGTTTGATGTCCCGAGGGATCGATTCAGTACCGCCTTGAAGTGTCATCACAATGTCGCATAAATATCTGACACACCTGGTCTTCGATTCATTGGCGTACAAAATCATCCTCAATCTTTCACCATTTTGTATAGATGAGGAATTAAGGAAATCCATGGGCAATTTGGGGAACATGGCATATCATAAAACAGAAGCGCTAAAAGTCCAATACTCACAAAAAAACCCACGCTACTTCATTCAGAAACATACGTTCGTCAAGCTTTCCGGCGTTTAGTTAATACCGGACTCGTATTAGACGACAAAAACCTGTTCTGTACAGCAGGTGACCACGGCAACTACATATTGGCTTGCTGACCTCCAACGAACACCGCTACAATTCAGAATGCAAGTCGGACGTGACGTCGACATTCTATACAATGTTGACTAGCGCCGGAGACTTTACCATTTATGACTAGTTTTGCATACCAGCAAATCCAGTTCCTTTTCAAACCTCCTGAGAAATCCGCAGTGCTTTCATACTTTATTACCTTGGTTCAGATCCTTTGCAAGCCATTGTGCTAAGTCCTTTAAAGGTTGTTGTTGTTGTTTAAAGGTTGTTTAATACGCAAATAAGCGAAAATACCGAAAAAAAGAAAAGAACCAAGCTGTTTTACCCATTTCCCAGGAGCTTGAAATGAAATCTATTCAACTTATTTATTATGCATGTATAAAACTCTCAAAACCGTTGAAATTGATATTAGAACTTTCTCTTTGAAAAAAAGAACATTTTTAATAGACTCTCTATTTTTTCAAACTGTCATTATCCTCCTCAGTTGATAAGTTTTGACACGATCAGAAGCGAGTGCGGGCAGGGTAATTACCGCGGAATCTTCGCACCCACTCGAGGTCACTTCGCGCCTAGGTGCGAGGCGGGCTTGATTAAGTGCGATCGCACCAATTTTCCCGTACCCCCTCCCCGCATTCTGACTTGGAAAAATGCTGGCTCACATCGTTTCTGCTAAATGGCAGGCGCTTCCTACAGCGTCCCTCCACATATCACCGTTGCCATCCATTTCGTTAAAGTACTTCATGGTTGAAAGTCTTGGTTCACAATTATTCTTGAGATAGTGCAATAGGATGAATCTGTGGCCCTCGAGGATACCGCATGAGCCACTATCGGATCAAAAATGTCCTAAGTAAGGTTGGCACGTTCTAAAAGGTTGCCTCTATTGTATACCGTATCCGGAAAAGCCGGTGTTTTAACGGACTCGTAGATCTGCACCATTAATAGTGGAGCAGGTATGTTGGAGGTTCTAACAACCGATCAGAGAAAATAACATGTAGTGTAACAAACCAGTAACAACAATACAAGCAAAAAAATAAAAGCGAAGTGGCAACACTAGCAGACAATGAAAACATGAAGCCATAAAACTTTGAAGGCATGCAGTCAGATTCCATTTCGACATTTAAGGCGATTACGTCCAATGTAACCAGCTTGCTTACCTATTTGCACACGACTGAAATCTTGTCCCAAAACCGCTTCTGTCACCCTCCATCGTAATCTCGTACAACCCCTACATTGCCTATTTTCAGGAGC